AAGAATAATTGAAAGTAATTTCAGGGGTGACTAAAAATTGTCAGTTTGACAAGGGTCCAAGTTTAAACGGATTAAAAAAAAGTGTTTGAATTTGAACAAAAAAACAATAACTTTTGACCAAATTGAAATGTTTGTCATTTAAAAAAACAATCATAACGTGTTAAACAATTTAAACTTTAGTCTTATTTTTGGTTTTTGGTGTGTGCATGTGTGTGTGTGTGTGTCAGTGTGTGTGTGCGCGTGCGTATATTGTCACATTTGACCCCAAAGCCAAAAGAGCATTGTAGAATGGTACGGGGTGGATTGCATAAGGCGGCTGCAGCCAGTAGGGGGCAGGCTAACACACAGGGATCAGGGGAGCCAATGAAAATCAGTGAGTGGCAGAGTGGTTAGCCTCTTCTAGACTCTAAAGTGTATCTGTGTGGAATAAGAAATATGTCTCTGAGCGGGGACCACACAACAATGGGAACGACCATTTCTGAGTTCACACAGTCTAAATATGGCGTCTAAAATGAGGAATGGGTTAATGCGATTTCTTTTTCAAGCTAAAACTGATACTAAACTGATATTAAAATGTAACTAGATTAATAATTGAAAAAGCTCATCTGGTCACTAAATGTACATTCAGAGAAAAAGACCAAATCTTCAGTTGTTTGTAAAAACTGATTCTGTCATTAGTCACATATTGGGTTTATTTGGTCGTTTGACTTTAGAGTTGTAAAGATAGTAAAGACAGTCCAATAACATTAGGACAAGCATTTTTAAAGCCTTAATACAACTTTACCTAAACGTAACGTCACCATTTTGACTCCACACCTGTGCAGACGTGGGCAAGAAATTAAAGTAGGTGCAGAGATGTCTGTGAAATGTTAAGAATTTTTGCATGAGATTTTAAACTTTGTGTTTGTGTTAAAGCAGCCACTAAATAATCCATGTTGTTTCCAAAAATGTTGTGACCAAATCAGACCAAAGGCTGTAATCTTTAGTTCAGGAGAGAGGAGCTTCAGGTGCTCTTCAGGATCAGCAGAGAAACAAGACTGGTGACATTTGAGAAAAGAGGAAATCTGAGGCACTAAAGACAGAAAATACAAATTATTTAATGAGAAGGGACGAGCAAACCAGAGACTAGAGAGAGACCTGAGAGAGACCCGAGAGACCGGAGAGACCAGAGAGAGACCCGAGAGACCAGAGAGAGACCTGAGAGAGACCCGAGACACCAGAGAGAGACCAGAGACCTGAGAGAGACAAGTGAGACTAGAGAGAGAACAGAGAGACCAGAGAGAGACCCAAGAACTGAGAGAGACCAAAGAGAGACCAGAGAGAGACCAGAGAGAGAGAGACCTGAGAGAGAAAGACCAGCGAGACCCTAGAGAAAGAGAGACCAGAGAGAGAGACCAGAGAGCCGGACCAGCGAGAGCCCTGAGAGAGACCAGAGAGAGAGAGAGACCAGAGAACACAGGGACAAGCAAACCCTACTCATCCTTGTTCATTTAAGGAGTGCCTCGGATTTCCTCTTTTCTCAAATGCTTTTTCATACTTAGCGGTCCTGAAGGTGGACCTCTTTTTCACTTTTCTGTCTGAAAAAGCTGATCTAAAGATGTGACAGAAGCCAAACATACATGATGTGAAAACTAGTGATAGAAGCAATTGTTTATTTTTGTGGTTTAAAAGGTATGTACCTCAACTTTAAATGCTTGGGTTTTATTTTCTATAGTCTATCTTTTCGCCACCAGGGGTCACTCTGACGCCACTCATTGACTTCCATTGAGAGTTCACTGTGAGATGACGTAATGGTTCCTGACGCTGGGCTTTTTCAGTCCTTTCTGTTATTCCCTGATTATTTCATGGACAGAGTTTGTGACGCGATATCCGACAACTCTCCGCCCCCTTTCCCCAAAGTTTGACATTTTTAAGGCTAACAGTCCCGGCAACAAAAGAACACCACAGAAAAAGCCTTGAAATTAGTTCAAATCATTTAAGTTTTATAATTAACCCGAGTCGACTTGAGGTTAGTTTGTTGCTACAAAGAGAAGTCAGTCCTCTATAAAAAAAAATACAATAAAATAGAAGGGATGGAAGGAATAAAAACAAAACAAATATTCTAAAATAAAATAAAAATGGTGGCCGAATCAAATGATCAGTTACACACGACACACCTGAGGCTTGTTTCATTGGAATCTTTCATTTAAAAAGAGACAACATTTTCCAGAAAAAGCTATTTTTGCAGTTGGCCGCGACTCAACAAACAAAGGTTTGCACTCATTTAAAGGCTGTTCTCTGCAGTGTGGAAGGTGTAGCACATAAAACAAATCAGAATAACACACAAACACTCAGGGACTATCTAGTGCACATGGATACGTCTGAACACTGGTGCGTGAAGCGGCCTCCACACAACACTGTAGGAAACTTCATTGGCAAAAAACTAAATGATACATAACCGCTTCTTCTGTACAGCTTCAAATGCAACAGGGTTAGTAACACTGAAAGAACCGGACATGACACGAGCCCAGACGCGTTCACACCAAGCAGTCACCAAGAGGCCTCAGAGAGGGACCAGAGGGAGAGGGACCAGGCTGAGAGCCTCAGAGAGGGACCAGGCTGAGAGCCTCAGAGAGGGACCAGGAGGAGAGCCTCAGAGAGGGACCAGGAGGAGAGCCTCAGAGAGGGACCAGGCTGAGAGCCTCAGAGAGGGACCGGGCTGAGAGCCTCAGAGAGGGACCAGGCTGAGAGCCTCAGAGAGGGACCAGGCTGAGAGCCTCAGAGAGGGACCAGACTCTTCATCTTATTGTAATGAAACGTCCTGTTACAGGGAGTTTGACTTGTTTTAAACTAAATAAACTAAATACACAGAGTTCTGGTGTTCAGGAGCCCAGAGCTCCCAGAGGTCAAACTCTTTTGGTCAGAGCCACAACTTTTTATTCATCATTATTTTTATGGAAAGTTTGTTTTTTAGATCCTTTTATTTCATTTTGTGCAAAGAAGTCCTTAAACATATTTTTCATTACATTATTTTGACCAAAAGATTTATTTCATTTAAATTGTTTTTAGATTTGCCTAAAACAAAAAAAAGCTTGAACTGGACCAAAAGTATTGCACACAGAGTATTATTATGAGTATTACTATTATTGCATTATTAGGTTCAATCTTTAAAAGTTAATAATGCTTGTTTTCTTAAGAGCCTTCTCTTCAAATAAACCTCTTTCTATCAATTCAAATTTAATAAAAAGAAATACCATTTGAAGTGCCTCCTTTAATACCCTTGTGTACCTCGGAGTCCACGCCCCCCATCGGGAAACACTGGTTTACTGTGAAAGTTACTTTATGGTCTGTTTCTAAACTGGTTCTTATCTCCACTTGTTCCATTCAATCATTTATGATTCGATAACATTTGACTAGTTTGAGACATTAAGTATTATAAACTAAACTAATACTTAATAATCGTAATATCTAAAACTAACAAACAGTGTCTAAATCAGTTTAGTTTCCTCTTGTTTATCAAAATTATGTTAAAATAAAACACTGCTCTTCTTACAAACAATACTTTTCACTTTATTCTTATGAAAATGGCTGAAGTCCTTACACCATTATTAGCCTTCCACATTTTTTAACATTTCTACACAGTTCCTCAAAACGTTGACAATCCTGTTTTTTGTTTTGTTTTGTTTTCCTTTTAAGTTTGAGTAGAAACTGAGTTAAAGAACAATGTTTGAAAATGCTACAATAGCAGTCGGTAAATCTGTTAAAAGTGCTTGCTAACAATCCACGTTTTAGTTAATTCAAAAAGATTTTCCCAAACGCATTACTGTTACTGTAAACTCTGAACATAGTTGATATACATTGCAAAAATTAGCTAAAAAGAAACGTAGCAATAAGACAAGCTGGTTGGCAACAGTAGCTCGGTGGCACTGGAAGTATTTGGGTTTTGCCATTTTTTTTAAAACTACGCAGAGGAAATCCTCTCTGGACGCTGGGAAACCGCTGGCTCGCTTGGTGCAAACGCGTGGCCTCATGACAAACATCCTGGTTATGGAGTCAGTAACAAGTCTAAAAATGAGCTTTAAAATCTTCTATAAACATTTGTAACACTGATAATCATATTCTGCACATTTCGTGAGGCACGCCAGGCAATTGGACACAGTAATGGGCCGAAAAGCGACCGCTGCGTGTGAGCGTCTGTACGGTCGGTGCTTCTCAGAGCTTGGTGGCCCCAGACGGCGTTGGACGATCACGGCTCAGCGTCTCTTTCCGCCGCGTCGTGGTGGAGCTGATGCTTTTTTTGACGGCGGCAGTGGCGGGAAGCACGGAATAACGCTGGGATTCATGGGCAGACCGGTGCATTCAGGGCCTCACACTTCAACGGGCAAAACTTTTAACTCGCATTAGCTTTTTGTGTAAGCACGTACTTTGGAATCTAGAGCATGATCCACCCCTGCACTGCAAAAATTATTAAATATTGCTTGAATCGAGTGGTTTGTTTCTTAATTTGAGAGCATTCTGATTGTCTTAAAACCAGATTTGCCAATGGGACAAAGCCATTTAGAAGTAGAAGAGAATTTGTTTTTTCTTTTCTCATCTATATTTTTGAACCATCACTGAGTGTACTGTAACAAAGGCCATTTCCTTGATTGAAACCGAATTTTTGGAAATTGCCACTCTATTTGAAGTCGGACATTTACTCAAAAACAACTTGATTCAAGCATTCTTTATTATGCTAAAACTAGAGATTTCATGTTATGCTAGTATAGAGTTATTGTTCATTTATCTTGTGTTGTATTCTGTAACTTGTGATACAACACTGACATTTCCCCACTGTGGGCCGAGTAAAGGATCATCATAATCATTACCTTCTAAGAGAAAACCGCTTTTAGTCTTTCCACGAATCACAACCTCAAAACGTCCGTCCGTCACATTACCGTTTTTAATTATGCCCGTTACTTCCCACCACCGCGCTGAACTCGGATCCGTTTGCGCTCATCTGGTCGCCACTTTTCCCCGGTGCATTATTTGGCGTCCTCGCTGCTGTTCTCTGAATCCTCCTCGTCCGACTCCGCCCACAGATTGACCTGCATCTCCTCTTCGCTCTCCTCCTGGATCCTCCGGTTGTCCTCGTCCACCTGCACCACGCGGATGTCATCCACGCACATGGCCATGTCCTCGTACTCCTCGTCCTCGTCCTCTTCATCGTCGTCCTCCTCGCTGTGGGCCAGGCCGTTGGAGCGCGGCTCGTCGAAGGCGTTGGGCGGGTAGTACGCGCTGTACATGTGGTCGCGTGGCTCGAAGGGCGGCGAGGAGGCGGTGGAGGAGGCGGACGCGCAGGAGGAGCTGGAGCTGAAGGCGTTCCGCTTGCAGTAGGAGTAGCGGTGGTTCATGTGCTGCGAGTAGGAGCCGGAGTGGGAGAACTTCTTGCCGCACTTGTCGCACTCGTAGGGCTTGATGCCAGTGTGCAGGCGCGCGTGCTCGATCAGGTGGTGCTTGTGTTTGAACGCTTTCTTACACACCACGCATTCGTGCGGCCGCTTCCCTGCAGGACACAAGAGATTTCAATACTTACTCTACTTTCAAGACTACTCCCAGAGCAGTCAAGTGTAATTATTCTGCTAATCATGGAAGTCAGAGTGTTAAGGAAGGGAGCAAATGTAGTAATTATATTGCACATTTCATACATAATCGTAAACTTAATGTGCTTTACTACAAATCACACCTACATTTTTTTAATAAGAGAGACTTGGGAGTCTGAGGAGCACAGGGACTCGCCTCCTGCTGATTTTACTGTTTCCTCTCTTGTCTTGTCAAGAACAGGTTTCCCTGTTTATGGATTGTGCTGTACAAATAAACTTGCATTGCCCCACAGCAGGCCTGTCCCAGCGGAGGCCCTACATTTGGATGATGTCAAAAAGGATTCTTACCGGTGTGCTCGTACTTGTGGCGCAGCAGGGAGCTGGCCTTCTGGAACACCTTGTTGCACAAGTCGCACGGGAACACTCCGGAGTCAAACTTCTTCTTCTTGGACTCTAAGTCAGTGTCTGCTCCTGCGGTCGGCGGCGCCGCCTCCTTCTCCACCTGCAGCAGACCCAGCACGTCAAACACTACCCAACACAACACTAGGTGATTGTGTCACAAGCAGAAGCTGATCTATGTGTTGTGTGAGCACAGGGGGTCTTTAAAATTGAGAAAATATATACTAATAAAGTAATACAAAATAACTGTTATAAAAATAGCATTTATTGCAAACTATGCCAAACTTCACGATGAACTGGGACTCTCCATGCACTTTCAGTAAACTATAAAAAAGAGAAGACCCTCAATCAGCTTATTATTACAGAAATAAGTCATCCTTATTTATAGAGCGCATTTCACTGGTCACACACAAAGATCAGAGAACTATGGGGTGAAAAAAAATTTGTGACAATGAGTTAAAATATTTAAGCAGCTTAAGAAACAGGACTTCCACCGACCTTGATGGCTTTATGTCCGTTGAGCACGACCGTCTTGGCCGCGCTGGCATTGTTGGCGTTTCCATAGGTGTAGGTCAGCTGCGGTATCAGGATGGTGCGTTGCTTGGTGGCTGGGTTGATGGCGCTCAGACACCCCACCGTCCCCTGCCCCGCGATGGCCACCAGCGTGGGGATCTGCGTGGCGGTCACAAAGTTGGAATTCCCGCTCTGAGGCGTGGTCACGTACAGCGCCCGCGGCTCCAGCTGGTCTTTGTTGATGCAAGCCAAATTCAACGGCGTCGTCTCCAGTTTGGGCAAGTTGTTGAGGACTTGGACCGTGTGAGGAGCTTTGATGGTCTCTTGCGGCGACTTCGCCACCTGTTCTGGTGCGGTTACTGCTGGTTCTGCTGGAGTGAGAGGCCTGGGTAGTGATAAATCCAGTGGTATGGGTGGAGTGGTTTCAGCGATGCTTCGATCTTCTGGTTCAGTTTTGATGGTAACTTTTGAGTCTTTTTTGGGGCTAGAAGAAGTGCATTGCGGTTTTGAATTATTGCACGTTTTGTCTGTTGGAACGTCACAATCTTTCGCCACTTCATTGTCTTCACTCACTTCCATTGGCTCGTCACCATTTGCTTCATCGCCATTTTGGTTGGCCGTTTCTTGAGTGCTCGAACCATCTTGAGGCTTTACACATTCTTCCTCTTCTGGAAATTCGACCTCAATCCCTTGCATCTTTGACTTAAGAGAAAGATCCTGTGCCTGCTCTGAATTCCTGGACACCACTTTGATGATTTTCACCAGCCTCTTTCGACCCTTGTTCATTTTCGCAAACCACTTTCGCACCACTTCTGAGGAAATTCGGACCTTTGCTGCAACCTTTTCCAGATCCACGTTGCTTGGGCGCGGGTTGGAAGCGAACGCCGCTTTGAGGACGGACAAAACATCGTCGTCCGCGCTGGGTTCGTCCAATATGACGCCAGCCTCGCTCAGCAAATCTGCAAACGAAGGATCCAAGGCAGCGCTGTCCACCGCTTCGCAATTAGCAGCTTTGCGATGCTGCAGCAAATGGACGGCCTCCAAATGCTCGGGACACTCTTCGCAAAGCAAGCAGTCTGTGGCGCTTGGCATTGCTGCGACAGATTCAGTTTTGCTAATGATAATCCCCAAATTGTCCGAAATATCAGTGACCGGCTCAAACATCGGCTCTTCCTTAATGCGTTTCGAAATGCTCAAATCGGTCGGGAGTTCTGACCCGTCCGTCGTCGCCACCAACGCACAAGCTTGCTCGGTTTTGCTCGGAATCGGAGCGGCCGCAAATATGGGAACGGCGGCTGCGGCGGGTGGGCTGTTTTTCACCATAAAAGAAGCCGGCTGTGAGTTGGCAGTGGTGGCGGCGGTGGGGCTAATGCTGTAATTGATAATGATCTTGGTGGTGCCGTCATGGTCCACGAAGGCTGGCAGGCTGATGATCTGCTGCTGGGGCTGCTGCACGACAAACCCTTGCTTTCCCGGCGTCCCATTCGCCAAAACTTTCCCTAGAACGTTCTGCAAGTCGTTTAAGTTGATGCCGATGGGAGACACAAGCCCGACAGTGGGAACTACCATTGCCACACCTCCGGGCCCTACGACCGATCTATTGACGCCATTGGCCGAAGGGACCAGTACTGGTTTGATGTCTTGCTCCAGGGGTTCGCTCTTGATCTGCGTGACGGGGATGTGCTCCTGCAGAGGTTTACTGTCCATGGCTCGGGCCGGAGCGATGGCGAGGCGGGATTTGTTGGCAGCGATTTGGTGCGGCTTCAGCGGCGGCAAGTGCAGGCCATTGGGGAAGTGGGCGGCTGCACACTTCTTACTGCTGATGTGGGAGCTGTACGAGCCCGAGTGCGAGAAGCGCTTGTGGCAGTTGGAGCATTCGTACGGTTTCTCACCTGGAAAAAACACAAGAGGAGGAGGATTATTTTTGAGTACAATTGCTTGACCGTTACACAATAAAGTATGCATAGCCTTTGCTAGAAGATAGACACTGTTCAAATTTTAACAAACAAAACATTACTTGAGATTAATGCCAGAATATCTCTATTTGAATCAAATTTTGGTTTTCAATAAGAACATAAAGGAATTCATTCTCATGTTTTAAAGGCCTGGGGCTTCCCTGATTAGAGACTTTTTATATTTTGTCTTGATGGGATAAAAAGAGACCCACTCCTCAAACCGTCTTTGATTATTTTGTATTACGATAAAAGTATAGATATTTGCAAATAATATTGAACAGGATTTAAAGGGGAAAAGAATAATGCCAGAATTTGGTATGAGCTTGTTGCCAATTTAAATTTATTTTTGTATAGTCTTAAACCACAACAGTAGTTAGGAGTTGTCGACACAGATTAGACAATCAAACACAGGAAATGCAACAATAAATAAAAATACACGGAGCCATCTGTGCTTAAAGGGTGGATGACCAATGTCCACAAATGTTAATAGTAATGTATACAAGAATGCACACTAAAATGTTGTAAAACTGAACATGCTAATACAAATAGGTCTTCTGTATATTTACTTTGGAATGAAGATTGAATCAAATCAAACATAGTTGACTGGTTCATTCACCATTGACGCCTGAACTTATTCTCTGATAATAAAGCAACAGGAGAAAATGAATAAAGCATCACAATGCTTTAATCTGGGGGAACTTTTTTCACATAAATAATACATTTTCCCATTGTCCCAACAGAAAGATTAACATGTCTTCATCTTATCAGACACCATGTTCAAACCACTTGGAAAGATGTGACAGAGGCCAAGAATATATGCACGTGAAAACTACTGATAGAGCCAAACTGATTCCATGTTTGTGGTTTGAAAGTTAGATACCCCAGCTTTAAGCATCAGAAAGCATGATAATGTCATGTGGGAGTGACTGACCGCTGTGGATGCGCAGATGTTCCTTCAGATGGTGCTTGTACTTGAAGGCCTTGGAGCATTCATTACATTTGAATTTCCGTGTCCCACCGGAGCCCGAGCCGTACCGCTGCCAAAGACAAAGAGAACACAGAAAAAGCCTCAGTTACATGTTTGGAGCAGAGACATATTTTTTATTATAGTTTACAGCAAGAAATAGGCCGTTTGAAATGAAAGATTTCAGGAAAAAAAAAGTATTACTGAACTCTTCTGTAGGAGAAGAGATGTGCAATCCAAAAACGTGTATATATATATATATATATATATATATATATATATATATATATATATCGAATAATTGGTCAATTTTTTCCAAATATATGACAGAAATAACTGTTACTTTAAAATATCTTGTCAATAAATTTATTTTTTACGATATTCCTAGTCAATTGTATTTCTTCTTCACGAGTACCCGCGGGCTTCCGTAGCTTCCGGTTTAGCGTAAACAGAGCATTCCACATAATATTTACAGTCTTTTATTGTCACATAAAGCATCGTATTTGTGCAGACTGTAGAGAATGCACTGTTTGGACTCTGGTCTAATATTTACAGTGTCTGGTCTGGACAGGGCTTTATGCTCGCGCTGAACAACAGAACGAAAGCAAAGAAACAGCTTTTGCTCCGTTAGCAGTTAGCCGCAGCTAACATGAAGGCGATGCTAAACACACAGAAACATACAGTGAAGCAGTGTTTGTGTGTGTGTGGCATTGTCTTTTCTGATATGTGAAAGTGAAAGCTCTGTTTAACACACAGAGAGAACGTATTTGACGACATAGACCGTTAATTATTCAGCTCTGAGTTTCCAATAAAAAAAATAACCGAGATGTTTGTTCCTCATCATAAAAAGACCTGCAGCTGTTTTTCACTTCCCTCTGTCCCTATGGTCCACATTCTGTTTACAAACTATGTCTCCATCATTTAGATTCATAATCAAATCCTCCAACAGAAGAAGTTTGAAAATATGAACAAATCAGACCACAACTTGCAGTATTCATCTTATTAGATAATGTTTTCCTTTGTATACTTGTAAGAGTATACAAACAATAACTATTTGACTCTGGGCTGAGAACTGATTAGCTGAGTGAGGGTGGTCCACTCCTTTTCACTTTTATATCTGAAAAAGCTGATGTGGCAGAGGCAGAAATGACATGCGTGCTTGTAATAAAGCTGTTTTTCTTTAACAAAGTATATTCAAACACTCAACTTCTGTTTTTGTTCAATACATAAATAAAACTTCAAAAACAATTCAAGCCATTTTTTGTTTTTAGCAGTCGAATGAGTTGAAAATGTAAAATAATATCTTCAAAAAAAGGGAAATTCATTTATTTTCTAATCCAGATTCATTAGTAAATAAAACAAAACTATCAAAAACAACTCAAATTCTGCAAACAATCACAAATTCAAGCCGCTACGTGATCTAGACATGCAATTTTGAGTAGGCCAGGCAGATTACCGGTCAGATAGAGGAGAATCCTGTGTCCAGTTTAAAAGTAGAAGAGTCAGAGTCAGGGTCTGGTCTAGATCAGGAGGTCTGAGTCTGTTCTCATGCAGGAGGGTCAAAGTCTGGTTCTGGTCTCGAGCAGGTAGGTCAGACCTCGTGCTGATTTTTCTCACTCCCTCACATTCGACTGGTCCCACAGTGTCTGAACCGGTTTGAGGCAGATTGTGGAGGAGGGACAGGTGAGTAGGGGGGAGGGGCATGTGGCACACCTGGCTGACGACGGCTTTTTCACATGGCGACTGGGGAATCCTGCTTCTGGCTACATACCAATCCAAACTAACGATGCATGTATGGACAGTGGTCATCCTGCTCCCTATGGTCTGCTTTTTGTTTGTTATTATTGAATTTCTTGAACGGTTCGATTCTCTGATCTGTTGTAAGCCTGAGACGACTGCTGTAGTGGTTTAGGGCTGTACAACAATGAGTTTAATGAATAATCCATGATGTTTGCCCCAGCAGAAAGAGTTTGAACAAATGTTATCTCATTCATTTTTGTAAGATACTATACATACTCACATAGTTCCCAGTCCTCTCTTTTTCACTTTTGTGTCTTAAAAAGTTGATCTAAATGCTCGTGAAAACTAGGAACAGAAGCAAATTGTTCTAGAGCCAGAGACAGTGATGTGGATTTAATGGCATGTCTCTGGTTTTAGGGTTTGAATGAGAAACAATGTAAGAAGATCAATCAAACTCATTCCTCGATCTCAATACAGTTTGGTTCTTTCACTATTCTTTATCTTCTAGCCATTTCAGAGCGTAAAGTGAAAAAGAGAAGACCCGCACTCAACCAATCAGTTCTCAGCAGGGCTCTTACAAGTATGCAAAAGACAACATGTTTTCTAATAGGACATGTAGAGGTCTGATTTGTTCATAATATTTGACTTTTACAAGATTCTTCTGGACAAACATCACGGATTATTAGGGTTTTATCACATGCAGGTTTGTAATCAGCAGAACAATGAGGAGTGAGGTCTGGCCTTGCTCCTGCACTTAATTACTCATGCAAACATTCCGGTGTAAAGAGATGCAGATGAGCGGCTCTGGGAACACTGCGGATCATATGAAAGTGAAAAGGAGAGCAGTTAGAGGGCGTCTCGCAAACTCCTCACCTGCTTCGCACCTGGACAACAGCCATTCAACAAACTGCAGTGTTGGAAGTGTAGAATCTGCATATTTTCTTTGGACCTCTGTTACAGCTGTATTACTGCTAAACGTTATTATCTGAAGAACTAAGTGCAATCTTCACGTAACATGCCATGGTAGCTACGATCAACGCTGCAAGTTAATAGTATAGTAATATGTTATAATAAGAAGTAATGATTCAAAATTCAGCTTCATAGGTTGTTGTTTATGATTTCGTTGGAGTATTAATGTAGACATATGTAATGGCACGCACAAAATCAGCAAAACAGCGAGGCCTCAAAAGTTGAACCGTGTTATAGCAATGGACCACTGTGTAACATGGGCACAGCTGAGAGAAGTTTATATTTTGTTTTAAACTAATCCTAGACATCTCCCTCGGGCTTTCTGTCCCTCTACGAATGAATGACAGGTGAGGGGGCAGGTCCAGGTGAACGGAAAAGTACGGCTCAGGTGAGGTCAGCTCTAATTGGCTGCGAGAAAGGACAGGTGGCAAAGGAGCCGTGCGATTGGTCAGAAGGGCAGGTGTAGTGTTTCAGATAGCTGCGTCTTATCAGGGCGACAGGAATGTGGAGCAACAAAAAGAGGCATTTTGGAGGGAAAGCAGCTAAAGCTAAATATGTGTGTGTGTTAGCATGTGTGTGTGTGTGTGTGAAGATAAGAGCAGTTTGTTCCAGGGCGTCTGCAGGAACAAACAAAAGCGTTGTGAGATCAATCGCAATCTCACAATATCCGTGGTTACAATTTCAAAATCTGCAATTATTTAAGCCTTTAGGAAACATTAAAAACTGTATAAACAACACAAAAAGCTACGGATTGTATGATTTTCTGGGGAAAAGTGAGATTTGCGTTTCTAATTGAACGTATTTAATTTGACCGACAGAAAGAATCTTACAAAAGTAAATTGTTGTGAACATAGGCCAAAACACGCTGTATACATCTTAACATGTTAAGAGCGAGCCCTGTGAGTCACTATTTGACACTTTGGGCTGAGAACTGACACGCTGAGTTAGGGTCTTACAGTCTTTTGCACTTTACTGCCTGAAAAATCTGATCTAATGTAGAGACAGGCAAAACATACATGCCTTAGAGCCTGTTATTAATACGTTATTTTAGGTCTGAAAGTTAAGTACCCCAGATTTTACACACATTAGTTTAGGGAATTTCTACAGTCAAGCTGCATGTCTTCAGTGTCTTCTAACTCCAACATTATGTGAATATAAAATTACACATTCTGAAATGACTGAGGTTAGAGATTCAGGACTAAAAATTAATACATACCTAATATTAGAATTTATTAGAAAACAATGTTAGAAGTTTGTTTGGAGACGTGTGAAGCTAGGGGGCGCTGTGCAGAAAGGGTTCACTCTTTTGACACTCCCAGAATTCTGAAACTAAGAGAACTCCCATTGCATACTATTTTAGTTTTAGGTTTTCACTAGTATCAAGGAGGAGTAAGTAATTTGACTTTAATCTTTAATACATAAATGAAATATAGCAAAACTAAACGCGAACTGATGCAAGTAAACAGCGGGTTGCTATGGTAACTAGTACATGCTCCAAGCTGAGATTGCTAACCAGTCTAAGACCGGTCTAGGACTGAGATAATTTCGTTAAAACTTAATAACATTCGGTTGATATAAACTACATACAGAAACAGAAAAAGTAAAGTAAAAGTTAAACGACCAAACTGTGTAAATATATTACACACATAATCGTGTTAATATTAAAAATGTGTCCATTCTTTCCAAAAACATGTTGACAGCAGGTGTGAGGAAGCAATAGTGTTGCTGTGTGTGATTGTGTGTAGGTGTGTGTGTGTGCATGTGTGTGTGCGTGTAGGTGTGTACGCATGTGTGTGTGAAGAAGCAGTAGTGTTGCTGTGTGTGTGAAGAAGCAGTAGTGTTGCTGTGTGTGATTGTGTGTATGCATCTGTGTGTGTGTGTGTGTGTGCAGTAGTAGCGTGTGCTCGTGTGAAGGCCAAACAAAAACGTCCCTCTGAAATGTCAGTTAATCTGAGGACACACAACAGGATCTCTATCTGACCACAGCTGAGTCTAGCACAGATTTCAGGTTTGAAAGCTGAGCTACCTAACTCTCAAACTACAACAATGAAACTCTAATAAAATACACAAGTTCCTCTGGCTCGCCCACAGTGTGCTCCAATCACTAGTTTTCATACATGACACAACCTAAAGCCTAGTGTATACTTGCGCGGCGTGGCTTACGTTAGCAGTTGCGGTGGACCTACGGGATCAGTTTTATCAGACAGTAAAGTGAAAAAGAGAGGACCACCCTCACTCAGCCAATCAGCTCTCGGCCAAAATATCTACATGGGGCTCTTTCTTACGAAGTCTGACTCTGTCGTGTGTCTGTGTGGTATTTATGAAGTTACAATGCAAACAATGTGCCTCAGTGCGATTGGATCATGATGTCACTTTTATAAAATGTAGAAATTCTAGGGCTTTCATTTAATATATTTTAACACAGCACTATGGGTCACTTTTTCACTCTTTAAGCTGAGAGCGGATTGGCTGAGTGAGGGTGGTCCTCTCGTTTTCACTTTTTTGTCTGACGATGTGTATAAGACTGTATATATCTATGTATATACAGTCTTCCTGAAGATGTGAGGCCAAGAATACAGGCATGTGACAACTGCTTTTGAGCCAGGAACAAGGATTTCATCAGAGACCATTATTGTGGTCTGAAAGTTGCGTACCTCCACTTGTTTAGAGTCTGTGTGTTGTGTATGTTTGTGTTGCTCTGAGGCGTGTGCTCACCTTGGTCTGGCCCCGGCCCTCCAGCTTGGCTCCGCGGTGGTGGCTCATGTGGCGCTCCAGCTGTGAGCGGTAGGTGAAGGTGTAGCTGCAGTGGTTACAGTTGTAGTTGTCATCGCTGGTCTCATGCCGGTACTTGATGTGTTCTTTGAGCGAGGCGTTGCGCTTGTAGCCGCGGGAGCAGTACGGGCAGATGTGCAGAGGCAGCGCGTCCGGAGTGCCTTCGCCCACGGTCATGGTGACAGGAGAGAACACAGGAGCTTCAGGATCAAAACAGGAGACGGGAGTTCTGCTGCTGCTGCTGTCCCACTGCCCTGTCTGAGAGCTTCTGGCCTCTGCCCTGCACTTATACCCCATGCACCCCCACACACTCCCCCAGACCCCCCAGACCCCCACACAGCCTCACTCAGGCCCACTCAGACCTGGGAGCATTACCATCACAACAGGTAATGCTGCTCTGGGCGGCTCCAGGTCGGATGCGGTGCTAACACCGTTCATTTGCACGTCTAAGTGTTCAGCTCGGCCATTAACAAAGCACAGGGACAAACTCCACTCACTACAGCAGAGCCAAAGACAGGACTCCGAAATATAGGGACTAAAAATACAGTCACAATGAACAAATGTGAGACTACAATCAAGGCAAGATTTGCCAGTTTTTCAAAGTCGTGAAAAGTTGAACATGTAGCAGATCAAACTATCAGGATTATTATGACTGAGGGCGCTGGCCCTGAACTACAGCCACACGTTCAGGGCCAGTGTGAGCTATATTTATATAAGTTAGTAAGTAAGTAAGTAATGTTTATTTATATAGCACATTTTACAGACCAAGGTCACCCAAAGCGCTTTACAATGTTCAGAGTTCAGATATATCATTCCACACACGGTGATGACAGAAGCGAGTCGCCGAACACACTGGACCATCAGCTCCAACCAACACCATCCATTCACTCTCTCATTTACATTCATACTTATTGTGCATGTTTTTAGTGGTAGGGTAAACCGGAGCACCCAGAGGAAACCTACGCACACACGGGGAGAACATGCAAACTCCACTCAGAAAGGCCCTGTTCCAACCAGGATTTGAACCCAGGACCTTCTTGCTGAGAAGCGAGCATGCTAACCACTCAGCCACCGTGCAGAGTCTTCCTGAAAATATGAGACAAGCTTCTATTCCGACAATGTTCAAATCCAGGTTAAAACAGCTCTGTTTAGCTGTGCTACAACAGAAGGATTGTTTCTTCACTCCTTTTAATGGACTGTGATTTTAATATTTGAGAAACAATTTATATGAAAAGGCTTAAAGCGCTCTACAAATAAAGATAGATTAATTATAACATTAAAGAGATAGATCACTGCATTTCTTGTGTTTGAAATGTTTGATTCTCTGATCTGTGTTGGTGAATTCAACAATTCCTCCGTGATAACTACTGTTACCTCAAGAAAATAAATTGAATTGAATATATACGTTCACACTGAGGGGCAGGTGCTCTGTAAATTGGGTGGCAGCTCTGATTGCCAATCCCCGACCCCCACCGCCCCAAAACCTCCAAATATAACAAGTTAAAACACTACACTGGAGAACAGGACACATGACGTGTTTTCAAATGTGTGGTTTGGTCTGAGAAATGTGTGAAAATCTGTCACAATTCATTCAATCTGATTTTTTCCATCAATTGAAACATTTTTAATCAATCATTCCTCGTTCTACAGGCTGAGTCTCAGATCTATAACTTGTCTGTCCGAGGGAGCGGATCTCTCTCTCAAACTGGGCCCCCAGAGGTTTCTCACTTTTTTCCACTGAATATCATCCATGTGGAAAAAAGTGCTGATGCAGGAGAAAAGGCTAACATTTATTCACTTTTAATAACATTTAATAACATTTATTAACTTTTATTAACATTGGTAATCCGGCTTCTATGTGTTTGTTATGATTGCATTTTCTGTTTTCAAACTGTTGGATTCTCTGATCTGTTGTTGAGGAATCCACAACTTTGTAAAGTCCTCCGAGAAGGTTGCTGTTGTTTGTTTAGGGCTGTACAAATATAAATTGATTGAATCAATGCTATATTTCTAATTAATATTGTAAACACGTCATTTATCAGCCTCCTGCTCTTACTTTTTATATTTCATTTTTGATGTAAGTAACATGTAAATACAATTGAGTTTCCATAGTTACCGTTCTCATCTGCCCCAGTCTCCGCTCCCCTCTCATCAGGGGCTTGTGGGTAAATAACGGCTGTGTCTCCCTGCTGCAGGAGAGCTGACTCTTTGTCCTCTTCATCTTCCTCGTCATCCTCTTCTTCCTCCTCCTCTTCTTCTTCTTTCACTTTCACTGGAAAACACCACAGAACTTCATTAATAAAGTACAAATATAGTGTGTGTAAAACTCCAAATGTCCAGCAGAGAGCGCCACACACCAATATGTGGCTCAAAAACAAACGCCACGTCATTGAGGGAGTTCAGTCACATGGCAGAGCTCAGAGTAGAGCTGCTGATCCTCCACGGCTAGAGGAACCCGCTGATACGCCTAAAGCTTCTGTTTGGGATGAGACCTGGGCCCCTCGTTGGGGGGGTGTTCCGGGCATGACGAGACGTTGTCTCTCAGCTGTGTCTCTTTTCTGTTTCTTTTGTACTGTTGATTTTGTGTCTTTTAGATGCCCGAATAAGCACTTGAATAGGAAATAAAAATTGAATGGTCCTTTGTGTGAGCGGCAGAGTGTCCCCTGGGTCTTGGACGTTCCAGCTCTGAACTGTTAAACTTCATATAAGGCCATGGTTCAACTCATTCAATACAGACTTTAGATTGGATCTTTGTGTTTGGCATTAGGGTATCTGATTACATTTCCATTGAAGTCTTCTTGCTGTGCTAAACCTGAGCCTGTACTAAGTCTGGACGAGGACTGACCTAGATCTAATATAAACATGAAATAGTGGACTATTCCGACCAGGAAACTAGGAATAAGTCATTAAGAGAATGTTAATGTTATGTCTTATTTGGAAGGAGTCTGTGGCCCGGATCAGACTAGTCTAAACCATAAAGCGACGCAAAATGTGTTTCAAAGCATTTCAATCATGTCCAAACTTAGGCCCTCGGGCCAATTGCAGCCTGTGAGGCACTTTCACAGTGTCCACCAGCCAACTTCAGCTCCACCAATAAAGTTATAATATACCTCACTGGAAAGCTCAGAACCTTTGGAATAGGCGTTAACTTTATTTATATATACTGGCAATTGTTTTTAATTGGGTCATGAAATGTTATAGAGGGTGCTAATGCAGCTGTGGTGTGAATCAACAAGACTCATTAAACTTGGTCTTTCGTCCCACTGCATGCTGACCCTGGCCTTACCAGAGCAGCACTGATTACTACAGCAGTTAGTATTTAGTTTTGGTGTATTTCATTTATATGAACCAGTTTTAGAATGTATTAAAGGTAAAAGACAACCCACTTTCTACTAATTAACACTACTGAAAATGTCCATTCATTTGAATAGGAGCTGTCAAAATGACTGCTCTGGGAGTTCTAGTATTTTCAGAATTCTGGGAGTCTGACAAAACCATAGTATTATCACACATTCCATTACCAAATAAATTAACAAATGACTTTCAAGGAAAAAAAACAAAAACGATTTGATCCCATTGTTACAGCCCCATGATGAAAACTGCCATTTTCATCAAATAAATGAATGAATCGATTCTAAAGACCGTTTTATATGGAAACACAGTGCCCTCTAGTGGCCACAGTTCAGCACAGTCACATCCACAGACAACAACTAAAAAGCAGTCGTATGTGTCTTCAACTAACTGTAAACGATGACGACTGAAAAGGTTTGGATTTAGATTTGAAGCACCCAATTTAACTTTTAAACCACAAAAATTCAGAACACATGATAAAATCCATGTCACTGGTTCCTCAAAAACATCTTTAGATCAGAGAGAGACCACCCTCACGCTCAGCCTAAAGAGTCAACACTGCAAAGTCAAAAATTGCTCAAATTTGGCAAATTGATTTTTTAGTTTTTGCACATTCTGACTGAGCCTTTAAACACAATTTTCCAAGTGGACAAAGCAAAATTATTTTGTTTAAACAGATACAAGAAATGTCTCCCTTGGAATGAAAAAATAAAGCAACAGTTCTTGAAATAAGACTAAATGGCTTTGTCTCTTTGGTGAATCTGATTTGAAGACAGTCAGAAAGTGTCAGATTAACAAAAAACCACTCAATTCAAGCATTTATTACCTCCTATTTGATCATGTTTTGCAGTGAATATTGACTCAGGCATTTAACCCGCCTAAAATCCATTTTTTTTCTAGGCCGTAGCTTCCACGTGGGTCAGAACTTTAAGGTTCTAAAACTAAACACACACCACACGAGGGACAATACTAGACAATAATAGACAGCGTAACGAGCCGTGGAGCCGTGTTTGGGTGAATGAAGCTCTTATCGTCCGAGTTTGGTCTGTTATTTATGGATAAACGTGCCATAGTCCAATATAATATGAATCTCTCTTGTCCTGGGAGCACTTGACTGTGACTTTAGAGGACATATTTTAAAATCTGAAGTTTGTTTTGACCATTTTACTGTGACACATTGTTTTCTTCGTGGTGAAAAGCCAACACGGGTCTAAACAACACAGCAAGCTTTCCCACCAACAACATCGTCATCACCTGGGCATTTCACCACAAGTTAAAATCCGGGGTTTGCGGTGGGGAATCACCTTGTGTGAGAGAACCTGGCTCTCCGGTTTCATAATCTAGGACACAGATGTGGAGAGAGCAGCGTTCACACCATATATGGACACTTCCTGCTTCACTGCCGCTGACCGAGGGACTGAACTGAGATTAATCCACATCGCAAACCCAGACACGGCACAGCATTAGGTGATAGAGCTTCTGTGACACAAGTTTGGCTCCAACAGAGAATAATGTTTATGGGAAATGTACGTTTTATGAATGCTATGTGTTTATGACAGAAAACTTGACTCTCACTCTCCAGATGTTTTGTGTTTTGCGTGAGTTGGGCTGGATTCACAAGGTCAATCTGGCACATATGGGCGTGTTCACACTAAAGAGTACAAAAGTGTGACGAAAAGCCAATAATTAGATTTTAATACTCAGAAGATACATAATGTTTTTCATGTATCCAAACACCTCCTCTGTCCGTTAGAAGTTGCTAGAACATAACTGTTTTATGCATTAGACAAGTTTCCTAACGGCCCTGTTTATTTGTGTCACGGACATTGTTTTGACGGAATGAGCTGCAGAAGTTTGTTACATATTTTCGGATCCATATTTGATTAATAGATTCTTGTTTATTACACAGAGTAGAAACAAAGTGATACTTTCATATAGCCAACCAATGAAATGTAAAGCCAGACCATTTTTTATCTCTCAAGTTTAATTAAAAAATTGTGATTTACTGATGTTGTGTTAGCCATGTTCATCTGTGGCATTTCTTCTGCCGCTTTTTAAGACTGAGGACTTTTTATTTTCTATGTCACTGGTGTCACAGTGCAGAGGTGGTGGTACAGAGGTGTTCCTACCTCTGTACCTTCTCCGCCGACTCCCACTGATGACTGCTGTCGTTGTGTCCTTGGGCAAGACACTTAACCCCACTTTGCCCAAAGCCCCCACTGAAAGATCAAGGCTATGCTCACACTCAGAGAGCAGCCGTCCTCCTGTGGACTCACCACCTGCAGCGGGTCAGTGAGGGGCTGGTGCTATGAGACTTGGGTGGCATCTCTGACTGTCACCCCCCTGACCCAGAAATGGATTAAAGGGTAGAAAATGGATGGATGGATGGATGGATGGTGTCACAGTAGAATGATCAAATCAGAGTTTAAAATTTCCCCAAAAATACATTTGTCAATTTTTCCTTTTGATTTTATCCACAATATCTCGTTGATATGTCTGTGTTTGAAATCTTTTCTCTAATCAATGCTAGTAAATTTATTTTTTGAGTTAATACCTTTTTAAGTCCAGAAACTTTAATTGATACTTTACTGTGAACGGACCCACAAGCAATTTTGTTTGTACTGCATGAAAAGCGTGAGGCATTTTGTAAATCTGGAATAATGACAGTATTGTGTAATCGTGCCCATGTCATAGACTCAGATTAATGACCAACTCTTTGGAATACGGAGGAAACGGCAGCGAGTCCTAAGCCGCTCTGAAACGATTGTTATTTTTCTTTTCCAAGCTGTAAATGTCACTGCAGTACAATGTTCATGGTTTTATACTGATCCAGACCAGAGCAGAGAAAATGGTCCGAACCAAGCGGACTCTGCAGACATCAACCAGAGGAAGCAGCTCGTCTCCAGCGGCTGCACCACCTCTGCTGCTGCTGTTGTAGTATATCGCTATTGTTAGTCACTTTTAGAACTGCGTATTTGTTTGTTTGTTTGGATAGATGTGTTTTTGCGCTTGACATCTACATTTCTCCTACAGGGATAAATACAGTATCTATCTATCTGTAGCTGCGTCTCCTCCAGGTACCCCGGTTCCCAACCCCACGTACAATAGGTGTGAGACAAAATTCCCATAAAAAAAACAAATTGTTAAGTGCTCTGTGACTTCTTTATTTGCCAAGCTCGAACGCTATCTCTGTTTAAAGATTTCACACTTGGACTTCTTAGTTTAAAAAGGCAGTCCATGATGCCATAGTCTCAGGATTTTTCAGAGCCAAGTTTGACAGTGGAGCTTTCAGGCAGAAGGGGCGGGGTAACATATTTATGCCGGATCTGCAGACTCATTTAGGAGACGGCCGCCAGTGCCTGTTGTAAAAGGTCGCTGCAGTACAAACACTGAACTCCCTCTGGTTTTGGAATGATCAGTATGTATTTTATTTTTAAGTTGACAGTCTACAATAAACATTAACCGAAAAGAGAGATGCATCGTACCAGGATAGAGCCAGAGATTTACAGATGCAGGTTGTTGGAAAACAGTAAAACAGTATCATGCGGGAGAACATGGACCAGTGGACTCACTCCTTCACTGTATCCAACAGATCAGTGAGTGGATGCAAAACAACTTCCTTCAGCTAAACGCAGACAAAACTGAAATGATTGTCTTTGGTCCCCAGGAACAAAGAGAGAGCGTCATCTGTCACCTCCAGTCTCTCTCCCTAAAACCTTCAAACAAGGTCAGAAATCTAGGGGTAATACTGGACTCAGACTTAAATTTTAATAGCCAAATCAAATCAGTAACATCAGCAGCTTTCTACCATCTAAAAAACATTGCCAGGATCAAAAACATAGTGTCTAAAGCAGACTTGGAGATTCTTATCCATGCATTTGTCTCCAGTAGGTTAGACTACTGCAATGGCCTGCTCACAGGTCTGTCCAAACAGGCTGTAAAACAGCTGCAGTACATTCAAAATGCAGCAGCTCGAGTCCTGACTAGAACCAGGAAGTACGACCACATTAGTCCGGTCCTCAGGTCTCTGCACTGGCTTCCTGTGGCTCAGAGAATAGACTTTAAAACAGCTCTGCTTGTGTACAAGTCTCTCCATGGCCTCGCACCAAAATATATTAGTGACATGTTAGTCCCATATGAACCAGCCCGGACTCTGAGGAGCACAGGGACTGGACTCCTGTTAGTGCCCAGAGTCAGAACTAAACATGGGGAGGCTGCTTTTCAGATTCATGCTGCTAAAATCTGGAACAGTCTTCCTGAAGATGTGAGACAGGCCTCCTCAATGACAATGTTTAAAACCAGGTTAAAGACAGTTCTGTTTAGCTGTGCATACAACTGAGGGATTTTATATTTTTATCTTTCGTTTTAATGTTCTGTGATTATTTATGATTTTAATGCTTTCTTATTTTGTTCAGCACTTTGAATTGCCTTGTGTATGAATTGTGCTATATAAATAAACTTGCCTTGCCTTGCCTTAAAACAAAAGTACCGGTAGATGGATACATGAACATACATTACATACAGGACCAGACCAAGGTTACAACTACATTTTCTTGTGTTTTTTTCCTGTATCATTCTTTTTAATTTTTATTTTCATTCATTTATACAGATCTGTGTAGCATTGTATCCCACGGCAAATTCCCCTTGGGTCAACAAAATGTATCTTATCTATCCTAATTTAACATGCAAGTTATGATAAAACTACCCATCCCTTATTTTTAACATTCTCTCCATAAACACATTCATAGCATACACACACACACACACAGACAAACACACACAAACACACACACATGGGAACTGATTTGTATTTCCAAATGCCATTCTTTGTCAGGAGTGTGACGTGAATACATTACATACATACATACATACATACAGTTCAAGTTGGCTGAGAGACACATGTTTACTCCCTCAGCTACATTAGCGCCAAACAACCAAAAACAACATACCAGCACAGTGTGTGAACTATTATCTATCTATTATAGTTGGATTTTCTTTGAAATTCACTTCTACAATGTTTTCTCAGGTTGTGAAGTCAAGGTGATTGTGGTGAGAGAATGTCTTCGTACTAAACTTTTAAAAACTCTAACTCACCCCCGTTGCTGAGCGCTGTGGGCTCGGGCTCCTGCTTCACGGCCACTTTCTTCTGGGGTTTTTTGGCGCCGGCCTCAGGACCCTCCTCCTCCACGATGTGCAGCTTGTCCTCATCGTCCGAGTCTGAGCTGGCCTCCAACCCGCCGTTCACGTTTGGCACTGGGAGAACAAGCAACACGTCACAATCAGGAGCAGCAAAGGGATATAACAGGCTTTCTCTGGGGAATCCACACTGATGTCACATTCTGAAACCTGAAATTCCAAACTGCATGGTCTTAATATGATGTGTTTAGTAATTTCACTGTTTTTAAACGTACTTTTTACTTTATATGTAAGTAAAAAGAAAGACACCTAAGAAATAAAATGTACTATCATTTTGATGTTTTAACACAAGAACAATCTAAAATCTGGAACAGTCTTTCTGAAAATGCGAGACGGGTTTCTTCTTTGACAAACCTTTACCCTTTTTAATGTACTGTGAGGTGCTAGTCCTGGACTGTTAGTTACCATAGCAACACACTGTTAGCAGTTAGCGGTTAGCATTTGGTAACCCTTTCTGTGCATGTATTTGCATGTAGTAAAAGATATAATGTGCCTAATTTTGATAAAAGAAGTGACTGAAACTGTTTTCCATTGATTTGAAAGAGTCAAATGTAGAGATGAGAGATAGTTTCAGAATTCTGTTAATGCCAACAAATGCATGTCAATTCTTCTTAAATCCCATCAAAGTCCATCCAATCCTGTCCAAAGTCACAAAAACAGTGCAGTTCTAAGAGGAGTCTGAGTCCAATCCTCATTTCCTGTTTCCCGTCTCTCATTTAATACCGAGATTCAAAGAGATTATAGTTCACAGACTGTTTTGTGTCATTGTTACAGCCCCTGTGTAAGGATACATCGCTGTGTACATATGGTCTGTGGCAGTGACTGGAATATGATGGATAGAGAAATATGTTGTCAGTTGTATTTACAGAGTGGCAGGTTAGTTAAAAAGTAGTGAAAAATAAGTCAAAAAATGCAAAAATGTGGCCAAATTTATCCTAATTATAGCACATTCTGAATGCCTTAAAACAAGAATTTCCAATGGGACAAGGTAAATGAATGAAAATAAGTCTTGATAGAAGACTAAATGTCTTTGACTCACTGGCAAATCTTGTTTTAAAACAGTCAGAATGTACCCAAAATTAGACAAAAATCACTTCAAGCAATTATAACCTCATACATTTTTTGCAGTGTGTGAGTTCACTTTAATATTGATCTAAGGAATCGAAACAATAAAAGAATGAGTGACAAATGTCTAAATGCAATATACAGGTTAAATTTAAACCTTTTACAGTAGTGGTGGTGGTGGGAGGAGATTAAGTTTGGAGTTAAATCAATACATTTAGAGGTGAGCATGGGGCTAGCCACTGTCTGGCTTCACAACGTTTCACTCTCTCTCCACAATCTTTTGACACCAAGAACAAAAAAATAAGTTCCACTGCCAAATCTTCAAAATTATCCTTTTCCCCTCAGACATATGCAGTCTTTTGATTTGCTATCATAGTAACCACAACATTTGTGTGACAAAACATGGTGGGAACTTCAAAAGTGTCAGATTTGAAGTGAAAGTGAAAGTGGTGGATGTTGGACTGAGGAGAGGAGCGCGCTGCATAACAACGTGTGCAGCTGTGACGACGGAAGCCAAGAGGCCACAGTCGCCCAGTGTCCCAGGACATGCCTTCAAAAGAGCTCAGGGCATCTGGAAACTCTCTGCCACCTAATTGAGAACCAGAATCTACATTTTGTAAAATTTCAGGCATTTTTTACTTCACTTTTTGCAGTGTACTTGGCATAAAAATACTGTTAACAGCTGCAAGGAAGCCCATAACAAGGAGATGGTTTAATCCTGAGCCACCCAGCCGGACTGAGAGGACGGATATTGTACAGGAAATTGCTGAAAGAGGACAAATTCGAGGAAAAATGGGACAAATGGATGATATATGTTTGCAAATGGTCAAAACATTATGTTGTGTGTTGATGTATTGTTTGGACCGGACACATCAGGATTTAATGAGGTGATATTTTAACGCACAGCTGACTCATGATGATCAAAGCACTCTGGAAAAAAACTATTCTATTTTGGCAATAACATTCCTATTAAAACTAGATTCAGAAAGAGTCAAAATAATAAGTCCATGAACTCCACTGACACTAGCCCTAATCCGATAAAAACAAGCCGTGTTTATTTCCCGGCACTTCAATTCAATTCGAAACTATTTGTAGCCTTAAGCACAACAGCACTCGATTCCTCAACAACAGATCAGAGAATCAAACTGCCTGAACACAGGAAATGTATTAATAAACAGATAGTAGCCATTAGTCCATAGGTAACAGTGCGACCACTGTCCAAAAATCTTCATAAATGTTCATAAATGTTTATAAATGTTTATAAAGCGCCGTTTCCACCTTCCCAATTGGCCCTACTCTACTCTATTCTACTCTACCTGGTCAGTTAGAACTTTTTGGTGCCAGTTCAGCCATGTTTGAACCAGGGCCAAGCAGATACTAAAGTAGTACTTGATAATGCTCCCAATCGAGGGAGAGTAGGGCCAAGTAGGGCTGGTGGAAACAGGGCTTTAATGTCCTCTTCATCATGTTTTTCTACTGTTAACCTAAACACACCGGGAAGTAGGAATGTGTGCTACGTCATCAGCTCTAGAGTTCAAGAGCTATATCCAAAGAATAACACAAGCACTGGCCGCTTCCCATGTGGATTTTAGCTGCAGTACCGCTGGTGGCCTCTAGTCTAAGCAGAAACACCCTCCACATAATATAATACATGCATAACAAAGAAAAAACTAAGCTTTAAATAAAATTGTCTTTAAGCAGCAGTGACACCTTGAGGCCAGAGGAGGGCAGCACTGGGGAGTGTTACTCTGCTGCATTAGAAAAGACCTTTCTCCACTTTTTAAAGGAGAAATGTTACAATATTCAGACTGAATCGTGTTCAGTTTACAATGACACGTGTCTTAGCTCTGATTGGACGGTGCAATAATAATGTATAATAATGAGGGAATAGAGCAGCTACAAAGCATCAGTCATTAGTCTGTATATCTTCTTCAAGTATATCTTGACTGAAATTCCTTATATGGGCATTGTATCCGACGATGTTAGCTTCCCCAAACTAACAGGAGACTTATGTTGCTAAGATTGTTGCTTCGGTAAGCTGACATTTCCCATCATTTTTTTAACTTCTGTTGTGATTTAGGACTTTACAAGAATACCATGAATTGAACTAATCATCATTCGAAATAGAATTGGGGATAAACATGTTCATCTGTATTATCATCAGTGTGATGTAAAACACAGACCTCTAACTTTGTTTCTTTTCTTTCATCCAATTACAATCTGACACCTGCGAACTCGGGAACTCAGGGATCAGTGACCGCAGCCGGAGTTTCAGTGTTTTAGTCCGAGTTTTAGTCCAAGTTGGATTTCTGAGTAGAGCAGCGTTCATTCCTATTTTCCGGAGTGGGAAAGTCTGACATTTTATGAAAGTTACATATTTCTGATATTAAGTGTGGAATGGAGGGATCTAAAAACAACTGCAGGTTTGAGACTGATGAGGAACAATGTTGTAACATTAAGAAAAGAGAAAAAGTCGATTTAGCAGACTGCTTTAAGCCTCGAGATGAACATTTTGCAATCTGAAAAGTCCTTGGAACATCATCTGGAATATGCCACACATTCCAACACTTATTTTGTTTCCAGAAGAACACTCGGACTCCCAGAATTTTGAAACTACTCGAACTCCCAGAATTTTGAAACAACTCGAACTCCCAGAGCCGTCATTTTGACTGCTCCCATTCAAATCAATGGTATTCTGAAAAGTTAGTGAGATTACCATCAGTTTTATTCAGATGTATCTTTACTCACTTTTAATAAGTGTGAGATATTAGAGCTGTTGCTGATTATTACTATTGTTAGCTTTTTAGAATGATCCATTTTATTTTTTATTTTTGTTGCTCCTGGACACCTGAATTTCTCCAACAGGTATCAATAAAGTATCTATCTATCTATCTATAACGTACTATTAACTTAGTACCAGTTAGCATTTAGCTAACTGGTAGTATTTAACTATGTTTTTTCCAGTATTTCAAGTTAATAGTACGTTGCTATGGTTACTGTGATGGTTACACTTTTAAGAAACTTTCATGTAAGAACTCATCATTCTTACATGTGCAGAAGCCTGTACTTTTCCACTACTTGTTTTGACTATCTCTGCTGGCACTGTGGCAGCTGCTGATTGGAGGACTTCATTCTCCCATGCTATATTATCACTAACAGTTTGTTACATCCTTTGTTCGTGTTGTTCGTGCTGTCTCTACCATCGACAATAAAACATGTCTTCTATCTGAATGAAAGACACGATCCCAGACTTTGTCATCTTCTTCATTACTAACGGCTTGCTCTTCTCTATTTCTCTATGCTCCTTTTCAAAATGAAAAATCATTCCATAAAAATAATGGCATAGAAATAAACTACATAAAGAAAAGTCACAAACTTATGAAGATCAAAAATGTACATAATCTGAGTAATAACACAAAACAAAAAAGTGGTCAAAAACTCGACTACTTTGGAAATGAGTCGTCAGTGCAAAAATCAATAAGATAAAAATGTGTGGTTTCAGACTGGTTCAGATGGTACAGTTCAGTCGGTCAGATTGAAGTCTGGATCTTATCATTCCTGTAGTCCTGTAGAAAGTGAGTCCTCCCCCGGTGACCCCTGAGGATGAGCTCCCAGCAGGACAGGACAGCGGGGGAAGGGCCTGAGAAAACAACAAGGACCCCAAAAGACTCTGCTTTTGTCCCGAGCCTGAAGTGGACTGAGCCGTGGTGTGCCAATCCACCTCAACAGTAGTGATGGGGGAGAAACTACTCTGTTCAGTACGGAGATATTATGCGCACACAATTAAGGCAAAACTGGAGAGAAAAATGAATTATATATCTGTTTCACTTTAGTGTTTTCTCTGTTTTATTCAGATTCAGATTCATTTATTTGCCATTTGCAGTAAAACCACATAGGAAAAACTGTGCAAGACTACCCCAGTGTGCACTTGTTCTTTGATGCAAGAGTTAGAGATTTTGTTTTAAGCTATTGTTCACTTATCTTGTGCTGTG